AATGTGTTTTTATGTGATTGTAGTATTTATTACATGTACAGCACTTTGGCCCGACCAAAAATCGCTTTTAAATGTGCTTTATAAATGTGCTTTATAAATTAACTTTGATTTGATTTGATTTGATTGCAGAATGAAAACAGGTGACAAAAGGAGACGACGAAAATAAGTACGAGAAGCTAGGAAGATCTGATTCACACAGGGGAGGCTCACCTTTAGAAGGATGATGTCAATCTCAGAGTATTTCATCCCATTCACCAAGATAGGGGTCAATCTATAAATAAATAAAAAATACGGAAAAAACAATATAACTCAGATTAAATTCCTACAAGACACTTATTTGGTAAACTGGCCAAAAATTCTGTTGCCGTGTGAGCACTTACTGGACCAAGTGGCCGGACAGGGCCTCTTTACAGATGGGCTGCTCAGCCAGGGTCAGCCAGAACTCACAGGCCTCCAGAGCCACGTTCTCATCGGGGTCCTGGGTCCTCTGCAGCATGTACTGGAGACAGACAACAACAGGTGGTGAGGATGAGATTCACGAGGAAGGGAAGGACAAATGTTATCCGTGTTTCCAAGTCCCTCCCTCACCTGGATGATGCTGTGCATGTGTGGGATGAGGCGGTCGATGCGGACTTCCAGCAGCATGACCAGAGCCCTGCACACGTTCTTCCGCACTTCACTGTCCTCGTCACCGGCCAGCGCAAACAGACTCTGGATATAAAGAAGAGGGAGAAGGGGAAAACTTGTTAACAAACAGAAGAACTCTGTTATTACTTTGAAAGCAGATCAAATGACCTGAACAGGGTTTCAAGGTCTCGCCCCTAACCCCACCATGTCTTCATAGTCATTAATGATAAAAGTCTGGGTGGCCAATACAAACTAACATGAATATTGAACTTTTTTTTTTTTTTTTTTTTTTTTTTAAATATGTCTAAAAGTCAATGGGTTTTTTGATTGATGCCTAAGATTTTCCGTTTGTCGTACGACATAAATCATCAGTAAATGCCCGACTTGCGATCTGTGTAGCTTTTACGCATCTTAATAACGGCAATTTCTATCAAGGGGCTAATTTAAACTACAGATGACCATGGTGTTTTTCGATTTTAGCCATATTTTAGCTTTTTACTTCTGGCAATTGCATTTATGCTTACATTTGTTTTAAGATTATCCTGCTTAACAAAACGTGCAAGTATATTTAACAATTGTTTTTCGTAACTTTAACACATAAATGAGCTCTAACATATTCCGTGTCAAGGTCTAAAAACAATGGAAGTTAAATCAACATGTTTCCTTTGGGCTCACCTCAATGAAGGTGTCAATGTTGTCCATCAGAGCCTCAGCTCGACCAATGATGAACTGGTTCACACAGGCTATAGCATGGGACCTGAGAGAGAGAGAAAAACATGTCAGATTTATGATGATTCTGACAGGGAGAGTCAAGGGGAAATGATGGTTGTTTAACTAACCTGATCTTGGGGCTGCAATGTTTGAAAAACTGTAGGAATTTGGGGATCATGATGTTGAGGGGTCTGTTCAGAGCATCGCTATCCAACAACTCTGAGGAATCCTCGCAGATCTTTTGCAATGCGCCAAAAGAACCCTGGAAAGTAGAGAAAAACCATAGAGATGGAATGTTACAAACAAAAGTAAAGATATAAAAGGGATTATTGAAATAACACTGCAAAGTGTGTGTGTGCAGGCAGATGAGCCTGACCTCGCAGGTGTTATAGTCGTCCGAGTTGAGCAGATTACAGAGCTGAGGCAACAGCTCCGGCCATGTCTGCAGCTCTCCTTTAGAGGCTATGGTCGTGATCAGGATACCTGGATGATAAGATAATGGAAAGGTTACGCAAGAATAACGCAGGCATCGCAGTACATCTCCAAAAACTAAGAAAATTCCTGCTGAATTTAAGACATCTATCAAAACACCTCTTTACCATCTCTTACACAACCATGTTTTATTTATCCAGTCGTATGCTCACTACTTCCCATTTTTGCTAAAACCTTGCCATTTAAACCTCAGCGTGGATTAAAAGGGATGCTACTCATTCATACAGTGTTTTTAAAAAAGGTTATTGAAGATTATTTATTGTCTTACTGCAACACGGCTGTACAACTAAACACAGTTTTAGTCAGTTCATGCTACCCAAGAAAAAACAAAACAGTGGTGCACACCTGTACTGTATAATTTGAATTTGCTTCCAGAGAAATATAAACTATAACAGAAATACCAGTAAATGTATGCATCCTTCAGACGTTTAGTGAAAGTCTTTAATTTAGTTTTGCTGTTGTTAAACCTAACTCCATTTACTTCAAATTCATCAAAACTGTTTTTGCCCTTGGGTTCCTTATCACAATGGAGGTTTGTAAGGAAAGAGTTTTCTTCAGGAATGCAGGTTTAACAAAGTGAGTAAAGTGTCCCTTTAAAAATGAGTCATTAATTGCATTCCATGATTCAAAACTACTTTTTAAAATGCAGCGCTTGTTCCCACACAGCCACATTACCTGCAAAAAATCAAACCACCTACATAGAAGTCTGACTCACACTGGCTATGAAATGCACTAGTTTTATTTTTCTCACTCAAACACCCACCGATGGTAGCTCTGATGAGCGGTGAAGGGTCTCCGATATTGTTGAGGCATTCTCGTTTGATGAACTCAGCCACATTAGGAGGGAAGTTCTGGTAGTGAGCCTTAACATTGTTCTTCAGTATCAGACCGCTCAGAGAGCGAGTGGGCTCATCTAAAGAGGGAGGGCAACAGAGAAAAAGAGCATACATACATTTTTTAGATAGGGAAATTGGAGATTATATACAGAAATAACTGCGCAATTGATCTGACGTGCACATACATACCCTCAGATTTGAGGCTTGTAAGGACAAAGATGAGATAGTTGTTGAAGTCTGGAAACTGGTTGAGTTGCTCGAGTTTCTGAAGGCTATGTTAAGGAGTTCAACCATTTGACCACCGTGCACATTACTCCCAATCACCTTGTTATGCCGTGTTTGACATATTTTGGGCAGCATGGACTAATACAATCGCACAGGATGCAACCTGCACATGACAACACACCAACTCAGTTTTCATTATCACCCACTTTGATACACAAGCTCTCAATCGTGAAGCTGAATCTCACACCTATTTCTCTCACCCTCACAAACACACACATACACACAGTTGCAAGGATACTTCTTGCACAGCTCTCTGTGTTGCTGTGTCTGGGGACTGGGAGTCCTTGAGTAGCTGAAGCACTTGCTGCAGTCCCTGTTCATCTGGCTGCCACTCCATCCTACAGGACACAAACACACACAAACCTGTTTATGAGGAATGCTACTGCATAGCACCATAGACTGTAGATGTAAGCATTTAACTAGCCGGCCCCATCTGTGACCTCAACGCTGCGCACGTTTCTACTCAAATCACGTAGAAGTAACGTAAGCTACGCAGTAATGATTACAGAACAACCCGCATAGCAACAACCAATTCAAATAACGCTATTAACGTTAGCTGTTAACTTTCCAATCTTAATGTTAGAGAAAATATCGTACTCATGTAAATCAGTGTCTACAATGTGGAAACGTAACAGCGTCAATGTTGATGAACATGTTCTGTTTCTGGATACAGGAAACCTAAAACTACCGCTACTTGGTTGTCAATTAGTTAGTAAGTAACCGTTGCATTGATAAATAACCACTACAACCATCATCAACGATCAGAACAGGGTTTTCCAAATGAGGCCCAGACTGCAGAGACGCTAACGCCTGGCTCCCACAGCTAACAAGCTAGCTTAGCATCGTTATGATACTTCACACGTAACAGATTGACACAGAACACAGCAACACAACGCTATCATACGTTAACTATGAGTACACCACGCCACGCTGTCAAAACAATGTTGTCATCGAATCAACAAAGACGGGTGCATATGGAGTGCATTATTACTCATAACATAGCAGTCGCATTACAACCTATTAGCATGCTAGCTAGCATCATCTTAAAAGTACCGCGAAAGATTTTACCTGGTCACTCCGCTGTGGTAGATCTATCTTTGTATGGATAATAGTGCAGTTACGCTGTAACGACTAACATTAAATAGAATATGACGGCGATCTGTGAAGCTTAATACAAAACTTTTGATCTCTGTGGATCTGTCTGGTTGCTATGCTAGCTGGTATGTGACAGAGATTGCATGCCTTGCAATCAAGCCGGGTGATCCGTTTGATCATGTTCGGCTTCCGTACTGGACAGACTGTCTGTAGGGATAACCGTTATGAGAGTCTAAAGCTACAGAGTTCAGTTTGTTAGACAGCATATACATAATGTTTCAGTGCCTACTTTTGTCTTAAGAAAGCGTTTTTTTTATTGAGGTGCATCATATATTTAATCTAATGAGGTTTTTCTTGATGAATTGTCTTCTGTTGTGTTTAATTTCTGACCACCAGATGGTGTCAGCTTCAAATTATGGCCATCAGCATTTAACTAAGGTGTGTACTCATTTTTAAATTGTACAACTTGACTTATTGATCTGTATGAACGGCTTAAGGGCCTGCACACAATATAAGGAACACTAGTGCAAGCTGACAACAATTAAGGTCAGTTTTATGTCAGTGTGTTCCAACCATAGACTGTATATATAAAGGTTCCAACATGAATGTGAAGGTGTGTAATTCATATCTGTTGGAAGATGAGCAAATTGCCATGAACATACAAAAACAACCAAAGGCCAACAATATAGGCTCCAAAGAGGCAGTATGTTACAGGTCTAAATGTGTCACATGTGGTGTCGTCTAACCCCTGTAAAATCACAGAAAGCAACTATAATTCAGTCAGAGGCCCCTCTGTGTATTCATCAATGTCACAAACCACTTCCTTTCATTTCGAAATCCTTGACAAATCTGTTTTTCTGAAACCATGCTTTAGAAAAGTGGAAGTGTTCCAACAGCATGAAATAATTTTAGTTTTTTCATTAGTGAGAGGAACAGAGACTTTCTTACCAACAACACAAAGCTTTATTGAATTATACATGTCAATATTTGATCATCACACATACACATTCACATTCCTGTATCAATAGTCATCACATGCACAGTGAGTTGGATGGGATCTGGAATTCTACATGTGAAGAATCACAAATGAAAAAAGTAGAGCTCTGCATTTTAGACAGGAACATATTTAGGAAAAAAGGTTCAGCAGAGAGAGCTGATTTCACTCTTGCTACAGCCCCATTTGCAGCATGCGTTGGACAGTCCGACCACCACATCTCGTCCTTTCCTATCTGCACTCCGTAGAGCCTCCAGCACCTCCTCTGATATTGGTGAGCGCGATGAGCGGCTGAATCCAACAGACACAGATGCAGCTTTCAATGTTTGATCTCTCCATGCTTGTTGGGACTCTGCAGGATCTTGCTCCCCGTTGAGTTGAGGGATGGCATTTGTGTTCCATGGGTCATATGCCTCTTCTCCAATGAGAGCTGATCAAAAAAGGAAGGGCACATTTCTTAATATAAAAACATAACATATCAAACAAAACAAACTTTTATTTATATGATCATGAATGCTTACCTGGGTCTTCTATGCCTCTCCTCCAGCGAGAACCACCGCAGGTAAAGATGACAGCTCGAATGAACTCTCTTCCACACAGTTTCACCCCGTAGAAAGAGGGATGACCGTCATTGGTCCGAACCCTGTCCACCAGCACCGCCAACAAGCCCAGGGTCAAGAGAGCTGCCTTCCACATGGTGAGAGTAAAAAGATGCTGTAAGGTGTCTCAAAGGCGGGTTGAGGTGTTTGTTTCTTTCTGGGCAGCTCCCACCATATATAGGCCTCACCATCTCAGAGAAGAACCTCAACTCACTTTCCCTCTACGTCATGCCCCAAGAGATAAGAACATGGACCTTTTGGGGCAACAATGCAAAATGAAAAAAGGAAAACTTGCGATAAAGTAGCCAAGATGCCAGAAGGGATGTCAACACAGCGTTTAGCTATCGAATCACCTGTGACCTTTTGCTGGCCTTTCTGTCCCTTGCATCCAATGGGTTGGGCTGTGTGTGTCATCACAAAACTCCGTCTTGCTATCTGCTCTTCCCTGCATTGGATGGAGATCGCTATCCACTAACCTCGAAGATAACTAGGGTGCTATATCTTGGTGTTCACTACAAGTGGCACACACACAGGCCTACAAGAGAGATATCAGAGGGCAACTGGCAATACTACAGTGACTCAAATCAATCGTGAACTTCTAAATGTTGCACGTTTGAATTATTTATATAGAGGGGGCGGAGATAAGGATCAGAAACTGGTTTCCACATACAAGGAATTTGCTTTGGCCTATTTGCGTATAGACAATAAATATAGAATGGAACAAATTAAATAAAATCATTTTAGAAATACTATTTGATTTTTTTAAAGAAATATGTGCAATGTAAGATAGCTAAGAATGTGCTATAATAGTTGTTCAGGATGTGTAAAGGTTCACAGTATTTAGAAGAAAAATAATATTCAATGTACAGATATAATAGTACAAAACTCTGAATTAACGTAAAGCAAAAAGATATGTCATTCCATTATAAATGTATAATAAGATAAGATAAGATAAGATAAGATGGACCTTTATTAATCCCCGTGGGCAAATTCAGTTGTACAAGCAGCAACAGGGTAAACGTGAAAAACAGGACAGCACAGATTCACACAGATTAATAAAATAAAAAATAAAATCAAGAAAAAAATAAAAATAATAATGATAATAATAATAAAAGACTATGAAATAGGAGATGAGTAAAAATAAGAGTAAAATAACTGTCAGCATATATACATATTTGGTCATATAAATTATGAAGTACGAAATGAGTTAAAGTGACAAGTGAAAATGGACATCTGTACATATAGTGACATATCTATCTACATATTTGGTCTACTACTAATATATTAACATGGGTTGTGGAAACAGTGTATATTTATGTCCGGTGATTTTATTTTATTTATTTTTTACATTATTGACCCCTTGTTGTGCAGCCTGATGGCTACAGGCACAAAGGACTGTCCGAGGCGCTTGGTGCTGTGTCGTGGAGGGATAAATCTGTGGCTGAACGTACTCCTATTAATCTGCCTGATTTCCTGAGCAATCATAAAAGTAACATTAATCGTGGTCATCTGACGTTCGACTCTGGCGAAAGTGACAGACAGGCACTGTCTACCAATGAACGATAGATTATTTTACTGACGCGGCGACCACCTCCCAGGTCAGCCAATCAGCATTTAGTGCAGGGCGGGGCGAAGACGGGAGGGTAGCAACAGTTGCCCCGGTGAAGGCAAGGCGCCATAGTCACGGTAGTCCTGGCGACAAGAACCAAGCAACGGGAGTCAACAACAACAACAGCCTAAATCTAAGGAAAAAAAGCTCAAACTACTAAAAAGGACACTATTGGGATACATTAAAGGTGAAAAAGTAAACTATTTCAGAATTATAATTTAATTTTCTCCTAGTATATGTGTGTGCTTGTTTGTACAACCGTCAGCGTTAAAGTGAGAGTGGTCGATCTAGTCTGTGATGAAAGTGGTTGCTAGCTCATTTCCCAAAGCAGACCGTTGTTATGGCGATGTCAGATCTTTGATAAGAGCACAAGATGGCGGGTGTGTTGGAGTGGCAACCGTACTTTTTCTGGCTCATCTGTTATAATGTTCAGGCGTTTTCTTACAGCCCCGACAACGATAACATTATAACGAGGCGTGTTTAGTTGCGTGGTCATTGATTTAATAACTATCCAACACGAGTCACTAGCAGCTAGCTTTAGCCCCCTTTAACGTCACAACTCAACGGGAGCTGCTAGCTGGGGAAGCTATCACTCTCCTGCTCAACTCACTTTTCTTAGCAAGCGAATCAGAAACATTAGATGTAGTAAAACACTGAAACCGCCCTCGTAATCCACACGTCTATTAGTTGTAAACTCGGAGTATGAGTTTAGGGTGTTTTATAATCTTTTTGTGACTTTGAAAAAGTTTTTGGTCTGACATTGACTTGTCTGACGGCAAGTGAGTCTCTTGAACACGGTGTGCCGGATGATCATCTGATTGTCTTGTTAGCTGTGTTGCTCCACGCAGGAGTGGTTTATCTTCCAGTGGGATGGCCTTAATCTTTGACTGACAGTGGGTCAGATGATTAATATGAGTTTATTTCCAGATGGTGAAATCTGGGACAGACCTTGGTCACATATGTTCAAGTGTTTAGTTAGCCATTCCTGTGTTTCGTTTTCACTAACACCAATACATCTTGATTTGAACATTGATTACATGTCTGTATTCATGGTGCTTAAGGTAGCATTGTAATTCATACTGTACCAGAGAGGAAAAGCTCTAGCTCTAGTGTGTTATACTCAGACAAAAGCCTTACTTCCGTTTATGTTACACACACACACACACACACACACACACACACACACACACACACACACACACACACACACACACACACACACACACTGATTGTGGCTAAATCATACAGAGGTATAACATGCCAACAAGTGAGTGTTGTTTTGTGCTCGTAGCACTTTCATTAATGAGTGCTGTGTCTTTTTATCAGCAGAACTAGTGCCTCAAAGCATTGGTTGCCATGGCAACTTCTGGATACTCGGAGGACCTTCAGCCTCAGCAGGCCAACACAGTAACTATGGCAACACCTGGTGCCACCGCACCCTCATCTGCAAAGACGGCACACTTCCTGTCCGATGTCCCACCGACCTCTGGGACCATTTCATCTGCGAGCCAATCGTCCGCTGGCGCAAAAACGGGACAGGACGCACTTTGTTCTCAAGCGCCGCCCACCAGCCAGAAGCCAGTGGTTCTGACGACTCCCACGCAACACTATGTGCCCCCAGATATCCAACACACTGCGGTCCAGAAAAGTAATGGTCAGAGCAACTCGCCTCAGTACATCATAGTGACTGTTACAGGTGAGAGACAGTGGAACGACCGGTACATACCTACATAATACATACTGTGCACACACACACATGTTTTAGCAGCAAGAGGGCATGATGTGGCATGCAGTCTGAGCAAGCCTTAGTTTGTTTTGCAAGTCAATGTATAGAGAGAGGGGTGTACGCAACAGGCTGGATCCTGGTTGGAGACTGGCAGTTTGAACAAAATATAGGTATGGATTCTAGTTACTAAACAGTGCAGAGAGGAGCTGTTTTTGACTCTTTGTCTTTATTCACCTTTAAAATATCTACGATAGCTATTCTTTTTAGTTGTCAGGGCCAACCCATCTATTTAAGGGTGGTATCATACAATCCTTGAACAATCAGTCCATAAATGAATTGACAATAATTGCTAATGATGTTGTAATCTTTTTTTTTATTTATCGAAGCCCATAGACCTTTTTTTTACATGAGTGCAAATTGAATAGCTTTAGGTTTCGTTCTATTGGTCAGACATATTGAATATATTGGATACTATAACTGAGGTCTCCTGGTACTTGAAAGACAAGAAGAGATTTAAATCCATCTCGGATCTAAAAACACTTTTGTAGTTAACCTGTCTGACAGGGGGTTGCATACATTATAAATACAAATGGTAGTCGGTGGTATAATGATGTTTTCAATTATATTTAATCAACATGTCTTTATGTGTGCAAGTCCGACAGCAGTTCAGAAAAAAGCCATTATTTATGGTAGCTAATATCATTTGTGCTTCCAAGGCTTTGGACCATTTCCAGATATTTTTGGAAATCCATTTAGACAATTGCTCTTTCAAAATGTTTCAAGGATTTAAAAAAACAAATGCTGAGTCATTAATAAATCAGCTATTTTGTTATAAATATGTTGTTAACTAGTGGGAATGAGAGACAATTGACACCAGCAGCAGTGTCTCTCTCTGTATGTTTATTTTAGGGTTGTCTATTCGTAGATCTTTTTGCCTGCTGGTATCAAGTAACACTGTGCACTCCTCAGAGTGAGACTCACAGGCCGGGGGCCCGTCACACTCATGTAGTTGGACTTCAAAGTTAGTTGAGTAGCTGTGCATATTAAAACATGGCATTCCCTCATATACACTGCAATAAAAAGTGATGTAGCTCCGTAATAATCATGCTCAATAAAATAGAATAAGCTTGAGCTATGTGCTTTTTTGTTCTATGTATCCAAGTTTATGAAAGCAGGTTAGAATAATGAACTTAAAGCTTTCCACTAAATACAGTCTAACTATAAAGAACCTTTCTAAAAACCTGCTTCTTTTATAACAACACAACAGGAGGTATCATGTAACACATAGAAAGGGATAAATGTTTATTTGTTTAGCCGCTACTTCATAATGTCACTTTACTACATACTTTTAAAAGTGAATTGAATTAGAATATTCAGACAATGGAATTGGAAATTGACGAATACTAATATATAAAATAAAGTCACACAAAGTTGCTCTGTTAAAATAATGTAAACTTGATTAAAAAAAATGTTTCACACATGGGTAGAAAGTCATTTATTTCAACAGGCATTAATCTGCCAATCCAGTTTCAATGGTTAGGACCTTTGTTAACTAAGTGCAAAGTAACAACATGTTATACAAGTTAGATAAAGGCAAGGCAAGTTTATTTATGTCGCACCTTTCAACACCAGGTAATTCAAAGTGCTTTACAAAAATAAAAAACATTAAGAGCATTAAGAAATAGTGCAGTCATTAAAAAGCAAAGATAATAAAATAAACATAAAACATGAATAACACAGGTATAAAAAACATTAAAAAACTTTTCCCAGAAACTTCCCATCCTTTTTTTTATAATCCCTGGATCTGGATTTTAAACCTATTGTTTTTAGATTCCCCGAACCTAGGATATTTAAACCTGTTTCTTTGTTAAAGGACACACACAAAACTAAACTCCTCTCTCTTTTGGCGTTAACCTAAAATGTTTACAGACAGGAGCTTTTATCAAAAAGTTGATCATGTAAACATTTGAGGTCATGTCTATATGTTGCACAAAAGTGGATAATGTTATCATTGTGACCTATAATTGAGTATTGAGACCTTATCCTAATGCAACTTTACATTGAGGGGTTGGCTGTGCTGGCTAAAACGTAATTTGGCTATGTTAACTGAAGTAAAAGCAGCACGGTGAAAACAGTTAGAATAATGTTTTCATTTTATTTGAAGGGTATAAAGAAGTAAATCTTACCCTCTCCTCTTCCCGCCCTCCATCCTCTGTTTTCTCCCTCCCTCCATCATCCTCCTCGTGTATCTCTCATTTCCCTCTCTCATCTGATCTGCATGTTTACAAGATGGACTGATTTCTCTCTCCATCTGGGGAGATTAGCTGTCCAAGGCTGTCCTGCTGCATGCAAGATATAAGGATGGAAGCAGAGTGAGACAGACAGACACTTTTTAACCTCCCTGCTATCAGTCTCCTCTGAGAACTTTGTTAAAATATGTTCTACGATGGTTGTTATTACGATTTGGAAGCAGTGTGTCGTGAGTACTTAACTTTGTGGTAATAGTGTCTGGGCTTTTCCCTCGATTCTGTTCAAATATCTGATGAACCCTGTCTTCCATCCATAGAGGGCTCTGTTCACTCCAACGACAGCCTGTCAGACTCCAGCCCGCCGGCCTCAGGTGTTCCTGCTCAGGTGGTCCAACCAGTGCAGACCAGCCAACAGGTAATACCCCAATATAGACTCAAACAACATTCATTTAAACACATGGTAAATCACCCAGAGTTCCATCTGACACTGTGGCTTTACTCTCCTGCAGAGGTCAGTGTTGCAAGCAGCCAAGAGGATTCAGTCCGGCCACATCAACAACCTGCAGTCTGTGCACATTAACCAGGAGGTAAACAGACAAGGAAAAAAACAGTAGATGCAATCAATTGAAGTGCAATGGCATGTATTAGTAATGGCTTTGTCCACTTTTACAGGCATATGGAAACTAGAGAAATACATGTTTTCCTTATTTGAATGTCTTAAACCTCCATAATGCAGCCTCCCCAGGCTGTCTGACATGTACCTGAACACACTGAGCTCTGCAGGTCCTGCTGCTGTTAGGAGTGTTTGTGGACCACCACCTTTCAATTGTCTTAAATGGCAGACTGCTATCCTAATACTTCTTAGTTGTGTTCCCTAATAATTATATTCAAGCTGTCATGTCTACCCAGAAAATCCCTCATCTTTACTGCTTCATTTGATGTACAAAGGTTATGATGGGAAGAAGTCAAACAGGGTACAGAAATTGTGCCTGCTCGGCCTCTTCTGAGCCAGTTAAAGAGCATAGCACTCATTAATTAGAACAACAAGATCTGTAGTATTAGAAGGAACATTAATTATTTGTATTTATTATTTTGTTACACTCATTGTTTCAAGCTAAATATAGGCAACTATGGCTTGGCTTTGTGGTTCTATTTGATTTAAAACAGTAGTTATTGTGGATATAACACATCCAAAACGATCCCACATTTTTTCCAAAGGTGTCCAAAGGGCACATTAGGTGATAAACAGAGTCAAACAGCAGTGCAAAAAAAAACAATTTATTTATATTTAAAACGTTTGAACAGGTTATATCCGTATTGCCACTATTGCTACCTGGTGACCAAATTAACCTAAGACCAACATGTTTCTAAGGACGCCATTTATTCAGGTCTTGACAAGTCTGCACACTATTTATTACGGTAAATGTGAAGCATACTAGGGCGTCTCATAGCTCTTAAAACCCATTATACACTTCCTGCTCTGCAAATAGCAACACACATGGAACTCACTGTGAGAGGAATACCAAAAACAGAGCTATCAGAAGAGTGAATAATGAACTTCTCAGATGGACACATACACAACTCCAAAAAGATGCTAATGTTGCATTGTGGTCCTGGATGTGTAAATACTGTTCGCAAGTTTGCCATAACCTTGTGTGGTAATATGTCAATGTTGGGTTCACAGCTTGTCAAAGAAGCTGCATTAATCTCCTGTTTGCTCGTTGTCCAGGTGGAGCATGTGTACTCCGGTCAGGTGCAGTATGTGGACGGAGGAGGAGACACCACCTTTACCACGTCCTCCATGTGAGTAGAGAGGGACCTGCTGTGTGTGCATTTTGTGTGCAATCTCCATATTTGTGAGGTTAACCACAACAGGTTTTGCATGAAAAATGTATATAACGATGAAGCAATTACGCTTGCTTTTCTTAACACACATCTTTGTTTATCTGTATTTATTTATTTGTGTGTGTGTGTGTGTGCAGTCGATCGAGCAGCTACCCTTTCTCCGACTCGCCCCTTTACTCCCAGACCCCCCCCACCTCCTCGTCCTACTATGAGGCCACGCCCAGCTCTGAGTCAGACCTCACCGGCTCTGTGACCTCGCAGCCCGTTTCTGTGGCAACAGCTGGAGCCAATAGCGGCGGAGCCTCTGCGGGCGGAGGGGGCTATGTCATTCAGGGAGGCTATGTTTTGGGAGGCGGAGCAACAGGTGGAGGAGGACAGAGTTACTCCAGCCCTAACTCTCGTGCCCCACCTGCTACTGTGAGTAAAAAAAGTGAACAACAAACTGGTTACACTATAAGAAAATTAAAGTTCAGGAAATTAAATCTGTCCATCTTCTTTAGGTGCAGTGGCTGTGCGATAACTACGAGGGGGCGGAGGGGGTGAGTTTACCCCGCTGCACCCTCTACTACCACTACCTGCTGCACTGCCAGGAGCAGAAACTAGAACCTGTTAACGCCGCATCCTTCGGCAAACTCATCAGGTCCGTCTTCATGGGGCTCCGGACGCGGAGACTGGGGACCAGGTATTAACACATACACTAGAGTTTTATAGAAATGCATCTGAGGGCATTGTCATAACTGTTGGTGTGTGTTTCAGAGGGAACTCAAAGTACCACTACTACGGCCTGAGGATCAAATCTGGGTCCCCGCTGCTCAGACTGATGGACGAACAGCAGCACATGGCGCTGAGGCAGCAGCCTTTCTCACAGAAAAACAGGTATCCACACCCCACTGCTTACTTGTGTCCCTGTGGCTATGGGTGTATCAAATTACTTAAAGCTGGGTTAGGCCGTTTCTTGAAGCATCATTGCCCAAATATTCCATAATCACTTTTCAGCATATTGTACAGTATTTCAAGTTTAGTGAGAGAGAACTAGACATCTGCACTTCCTTGCATGTGACAGTAGACTTTGGCCATGTCATTTAAGAGAGTGTTCCTATTGGCTGTGCACGCTCCTTCAGATGGTACAATGCTAATTTACTGATTGAAAATCCTCTTGAAAAGTTGCTATTTCAGCATTGGCAACAACTGTCATCACTTCAAATCAACCCCAAAAGAGAAAGGCAGACTTTTCCACAAGATAGTCTCACAATGTTGGCAACGCATTTGTAGATATGGAGAATCATTTTTCTAGTCATTTAGCTTTCTGCTACCTGTAGACAAAGGCTCACAGCTTTAGCTAGTTCAAACTCATGTTTGCAATAGAGTCTCCAATCACAGTCTGTCATCTCTAAGGGCTTTACAGGTTTACAAGTTTGCGAAATTATTCAGGTCGGTCATTTCCATACTTACATACTGTATGAAGCGCATGCACATGCCTGGGTTCTTCTGGTGAGAGGTGCTGAGCACAGAGGGGGGAAAAAGAAGAGTCATGCAGGAGGAGGGACTTATTTTAAACAAAGAAATCAAAAAACTGCAGCCGTCAGCTTAAAAAAATCCCTCTTTCGTGATTTCTGTATAATATATGCACTTGTCTTTTAAACATTGATGTATTCCCTGTGGCTTTTTCTGTCGCTCTGACTGATGTGTACTCTTAACTTTTTCTAATAGGTTAAAGCCACTTCAGAAGGCACAGGGGATCACCAATGGCACAGCAGGTGGGCTGGGTCAGCAGGCCTCAGGACTTTGTGATATTTCAGCTCAGGTGCAACAGTATCAACAGTTTCTGGGTAAGCCCTCTAAAAAATGTCTCTTCTAGTTATGTTTAAAATAAATAATAGTACACTACTTAATGTTCAAGGATTCTGTTCCGTAAACAAGTAGTGAACAACTGCTCTCTCTTAATCAGAAGCATCGAGGCCGCTGCCTGACTTTGTGGAAATCGATCTGCAAGCTCGGCCCCTGCCTGACGGGATCATCGTAGCACACCTGAAGGCCTTTCAGATGCTCTACAGAGAACACTGTGAGGTAGGCAGAGACGGCACGAGCACACTGACTGTTCTCTGTCCAGAGTGTGAGGACTCACCTCTGTGGTGTTATGTGTGATCCCCGCAGGCCATTATGGACGTGATGGTCAACCTCCAGTTCACCCTGGTGGAGACGCTGTGGAAATCCTTCTGGAGGTTCAGCCAGAGCATCGACACAGAATCCCTCAACCTGTAAGGGCCAATACTACAATGTGATGAAAGAAATACTAGCACATGCCGAGTATCTCCACTCTGCTGCCGCTCGCTATGAACGCTCTGTCGTCTTCTCCCCAGGCACAATGAGTCGGAGAAGCGTCTACCCAAATCCTGCCTGGTGGTGCTGTGTAAGTACGAGCCGGTGCTGCGCTGGACCAAGGAGTGTGACAACCTGCTCTACCAGACCCTGGTGGAGATCCTCATCTCTGATGTGCTGAGACCCATCCCCAGTGAGTTAGTAAGGCCCGTAAGAGGCCTGAGTAGAAAAGTGTTCTGTGAGGCAATCACGATTTTACAGCATGCTGGCCTCAATATGATGGATACATATCTAAGTGGTTAGAAATAATTGATAACCCCCTGTTCTATCCTTTTCACTTCTCCACCATCCCTCCCTCAGGTGCCTTAACTCAGGCCATCCGCAACTTTGCCAAGAGTCTGGAGAACTGGTTGACAGGCGCCTTGATGAACATCCCAGAGGAGATGGTTCGCATCAAGGTATTTATAAGCTTCTCTGTTGATTCCATACCAAGTTATAGTATGCACCGGTTCTACAAATAAAAAAATAGGCCAATATTTATTTAATCATTCTGGTGCGCAGCCCTTTTAGACAGAAAAAGTTGTCTATTTTTCTATTTAGCTACTGCTTACAGGAAATGACTTAAGGATTGACAACTAGAATATTGGCGGATTTGTTATGAAAGTTTGTCGCTTCATGTATTTAGCTAAAAGGCAGTTTCTCAGTAGCTTTATCCATAACAGGGCTGTGGATGTTAAATGATCCTTATTACACGGCTTAGTTGAATACTCAACCCCCTGTCCAGTGTTCTTTTTTCAATAATGACTGCCTTGCTGCACATTATCCCTTTCACATAACACATGCATGCATCTGTAACATTTTGAATGTAGTCATTATTACCGAACTGTTTTAAATGTCAGACTTTAACAGATGGTTCACGGTTAGAAAAACAGACTCTGAACTTACTTATTGTTGCTTCTTCCTGACAAGCGCCACTTTTCCCCCTCACCCCCCCCTCTGTGCTGCAGGTGGTGTGTGTGGGCTCCTTCTCCCAGACGCTGCGCCGCTACACCAGTCTGAACCACCTGGCCCAGGCCGCCCGCGCCGTGCTGCAGAACACCGCCCAGATCAACCAGATGCTCTCAGACCTGAACCGGGTGGACTTTACTAACGTGCAGGTTAGTACCACTGTCCCCACCCTCCCATTTACAACTGCACACGAGTGTTTTCGTTTTTTTCTCACTTTACTTTTTATTATATAAAATCATTACAACAGCAGCTGTGCATGTACATGGCAACCCAAACAAAATAAAACAATGCAATCCATGGAGGATCTTTACTCCCAGCGGCTCAGGAAGAAAGCCCTCAGGATTACAAAAGACCCCCGTCACCCCAGCCACAAACTGTTCTGTCTGCTGCCGTCTGGCAGGCGGTACCGCAGTATCAGGACAAAGACCACCAGACTCAGGGACAGCTTCATCCCACAGGCCAGAAGACTATTAAACACCTGAACTTTGAAACAACATCATAACATTAATCGGGCTGCTACTTAGGAATTATTTATCTAATATATCATATTCCAATCACTTGCACTATTTCACTATTTCACTTTTTTACTATTTTTCCTTTTGTATTTACTATTTACGTGCACTATTTGTTTCTGTTTATCAGTTTTATTGTGTTGCACTGTTGGAGGAGCCTGTGACCTAAGATTTTCATCGTCATAACTACACTGTAGCTATGCACGTATGACTAATAAAAGCCTTGAACCTTGAATACAGCTATAGATACAAATACAGAGATAATATAAAATAAAATAAAAATAAAAATGCAGTCGGGAGTCACATTCTCATTTGACCATTTGTCAGAACAGTTCCTCTTATTCAATCAGTCAGTATTCCTTGTCGCTGGTTTGAATCTTTTTGACCATTTCTCCCATTTCTCTTCATATTGTGTTTCTTGCAGTCTCAGTCGATATGTCATTTTTTCCATTATGTGAATTTCCTCCACGATCTCCTTCCAAGGCTCCACCTTGCACCATTTCCTAGTTATGGCCTTCTTGCCTTATCAACAGTATTTTTACAAAATATCTATCTATGTAGTGAACATTTTCCTCTGTAAAATTGCCCAGATAGAGTACCATGTAGTCCATAGGAACCTCATATCTCAGTATCTTTTGCAAAACCTTGTGTACCGATTCCCAGAACTGAAGTATTTTTTGGCATTTCCAAAATATGTGTGGATGGTTGGCCTCTGATTCTCCATGCACATGAGTGTTTTGGGTGAGAGACAGCAGTGTAACCCTCCCCTCCCCTCTCAGGAGCAGGCTTCCTGGGTGTGTCAGTGTGGAGACAGCGTGGTGCAGCGGCTGGAGCAGGACTTCAAAGCGACGCTGCAGCAGCAGAACTCTCTGGAGCAGTGGGCCTCGTGGCTGGACGGGGTGGTCACCGAGGCCCTGAAGCCCTACGAGCAGAACCCCAGCGCCCTGCCCAAGGCTGCCAAGGTGTTCCTGCTCAACTGGTCCTTCTACAGGTGAGGGGGGGACAAAACGTGATATGTCAAAGTAATGAAGATTAGATTAGATCAAATGTATTCATCCCAAATTGGGAGTCACAGCAGTATGTAAACAGGCATTACATGTGTTTTAAATATCATAAAATATAAACAGTACATTTATACATATCAACAGTAAGACAGATATATATCAATAGAGTATCTATAGAATACACAATATAAAATACCAATAAACTACAACAAAAATACAAAGGTTACATTTTAAAAGTGTGCAAACTTTCTTTTATTTTTTGTTTTATTAATATACACATTTAAATGCAGTGAGGTGGTGTGAGTACAATTTGTTGCAGTTTGTTCAGGGATATTGAAATGGGGAAAAACAAAAGAAACGATGAAGCTGGGATTCCTCTGCTAGCCTCGGGTAAGGTGCTTTAGGTGTTGTTTGGTCTGACGTTGGATATAATCATCTCCTCTGCTCTCTCCCCAGCTCCATGGTGATCCGGGACCTGACTCTGCGCAGCGCGGCCAGCTTCGGATCCTTCCACCTGATCCGCCTGCTGTATGACGAGTACATGTACTACCTGATAGAGCACAGGGTGGCCCAGGCTAAAGGGGTGACACCCATTGCAGTCATGGGAGAAGTACGTACCTGTAAATACTGTCACATAGCAGCAGTCTCAACTGGATGATTTTTAAATGCTTACCTTTGTGTTGCAGTTTGCCAGCGCTGTCAAGAGCCGCATCTCCCCCGACCTGGACAAAGGTAGGTTCAGTTGCATTCTCTTGCAGATATGTAGACCCTTAAATGGGCAAACACATTTTTATGAAAATTAATTGATGGCCATTTTTTTCATGACATCCATATTACACTGTTGTTACACCCATATAACACATCCATTTACCCTCCAAATTACAAATATAATACACCCATGTTACACCATTATTACACCAATACTTTACCCTTGTTACGGTGTTATATTACTGTTATTACACCCATATTACACTGTTTTTGTACCGCATTACACATTACTACACCCCTATGAGACGCATGGTACATCATTATAACATCCGTATGACACCCATGTTACACTGTTATTACACCCATGTTACACTGTTATTACACCCATGTTACACTGTTATCACATCCATGTTACACTGTTATCACATCCATGTTACACTGTTATCACATCCATGTTACACTGTTATCACATCCATGTTACACTGTTATCACATCCATGTTACACTGTTATCACATCCATGTTACACTGTTATCACATCCATGTTACACTGATATCACATCCATGTTACACTGTTATCACATCCATGTTACACTGTTATCACATCCATGTTACAATGTTATCACATCCATGTTACACTGTTATTACACCCATGTTACACTGTTATCACATCCATGTTACACTGTTATCACATCCATGTTACACTGTTATCACATCCATGTTACACTGATATCACATCCATGTTACACTGTTATCACATCCATGTTACACTGTTATCACATCCATGTTACAATGTTATCACATCCATGTTACACTGTTATTACACCCATGTTACACTGTTATCACATCCATGTTACACTGTTATCACATCCATGTTACACTGTTATCACACCCATGTTACACTGTTATCACATCCATGTTACACTGTTATTACACCTATATTACAATGTTATAACACCCATGTAAAACCAATATTACACCCATTTTTCACATGGAAACAGCCTGTCAAATGACTGTATCCCCTAGGGGACATAAACCACTTAGGGGTTAAGGTTCAAGTCATAGTCTCTGTTAATCAGGTCGCTTAATGTCACATAAATGCCTTTTTCTCCATTAGAAGAAGAGGAGGATGACGAGGAAGAGGAGAGCGACGACGAGGGAGGGGATCTGGTGCTGCAGTCCAGCTCTCTGAGTGCGATGGACGACGACAAGGACCCCATGGAGCCGCCCACCAAGCTGCCCAGGACCACCTTCAGTCTGCACTCTCTCACCGACAGCACACCTCCTTAGCTGCTCATCTGTAAAAAATATCTACACACACACACACACATACACACACTCACATTTGCTTTAAATCATGTCATCCCATCCTGTCACTCTTTGTCTGCAAACAGCTGATTTCCGGTGTTGAGTGTGTTCGTGTGTGTGCAATCATGTGAAAGTGGGAGAGCCCTTTGCCAATTTTGTACTTTTGTGCTGCCATTTATTTCTCTTTTGACTTCACCACAGTCCTTCCCTGGTTCCCTGTGCCTTCCCCTAATTATCCAGTGGCTAGCTACTCCTGTGTCCAGCCTCAAATATATTTATATACTTAAATATATATATTATATTCTTGATTCCCTTCTGCCCCGCCTTAATCACTGACCTGATATCTGTGTGGAGATCTTCATTGTACTCTTAACTCATAATTATCTCTGACCTTGCCTTTAAAGCCATGACTATGCAGGGGAGCTGGACTTAAGTGAAATATAAAAACACTTTTTAAATCTCAGAGTAGCATCTGGACTGATACTGGATCATGTATGTTGATGGAGCGTTAATGTCGAAGCCATATTTTCCTTCATGCCATTTCTTATTAATTTGGCCAATGAACTAATACCCTGTGCCTTTGAGAGTTTTCTTGAACAAAAGCTTGTATTCTATATATTCTGTATCGGTGGATTAATAAATGATGGTCCTGTGAAGTGGTCTCGGTGTTGTCATGAACCTTTACTAGCTGTGACAAAAAAATGTAAACAGTCGAGCCTCGTGATTCTGCACAGTTTGCTGTTTTCCATCCATCCATCCATCATCCATTCATTCTTTCAATATCAACATTTCCTTTACACACACACACACACACACCCTCACAGGTGCAGTGCAAGTTGGATGGGCCACAGCACCCAGCAGCACTTACTACATTGTATCCATGGCAACCTTTGTACCAGCTTAGATGTACCAGCTCAACGTTTTTGAAGTGGAAAAGCAGTTGTGTATTTTCTGAGTATCAATGTTGTGTAACATTTTGTAGAAAATCTATATTACGTATCTTTTGTGAACACTGTCACACATCCAGACTATTTGTGTGCTGTCTAACCATTGTTGCCTTAAGAAAAATATGTTGTGCTATGTCTACTACACAGATTATTGAACTATATTTTGTATTGTGATGATGGACCCACATGCTTAACCAGCAGCTTGTCACATGGCGTAACAGGAAGTGTTGGACAGTCCTTCAGGGTGGTCCGACTACATACCCCACCAAAGAGCACTTAATAGAAAACAAAGGTTGGCCTATATTTACATGTCTTCATTTGCTGAGGGCAGATAGAATCAACCGCCAACTGGGATGTCACTACTTTACAAAATGTGACATAGAATCTGTCCTCAGCCTGTGCTGCTGAACCTTTTCTAACCGAGGTCCTCTTGATGTTATTCTGAAGACCGTTGATATAGATTATTAAATCTATAAGTGTTTGTAGCTTTATTTTCCCTGTTAACTAAAAGATGCAATTACTCTCAAAATGTGCCAGATTTCTTTTTCTTCAAGTACCCACTCTAGACTTTGCTCAATCACATCACCTGGACCAGTCTCACAACCGTTGTCCCTTAACTCATTAAAGGGGATCTCCAGTGTTATTGCACTTGCATACATTTGGGGAAAATAAACACTTATAATGGTTGAAATGATAGCATTACAGACTGAGATCTTCTGGACATTAGTCTTAAGGTTCAAGCTCTAAACTACTGGATCCTACGTTCCCCATAATGCAACTTGAAAGCATATTTTCTTTCACACTCACTGCCTCTTAAAAGGACTGCTTCATCCAAAAAATGACATTTGTAAACAGAGAAAAGTCAAACTTTTTCACAAGATCCATTTAGAAACATGTCTTGGCAAATGTGATTCTTTATGCAGTGTTTTAGGTAGCAATGTTTAAGAGATGCACAGGTTTTGGAAGTAGTGAGCATAGAAGGTTTTTAGTATAGTTTTGCTGTTAAACGCAGTCCCAATTCAAGACGTTGCTGTTGTAGGTTCTTTGTTCACCTTGGAGGTAAGAAACATGTTTCTTCAGGAATTCAAAGTAACACTGGTTGAGTAATTGATATATACATGGTCATTTTGTGGGTGAGGTGTTGCTTTGATCTGCAAGGTTGACTGTTAGCAGAATATTTGTATCCATTTTTTCATACAACAGACACGCAAGTAACTCTTAACATTTTATTTTTACAAAAAGAAAACAATAGTCTTACACAGGTACAGATATTGCATTCGTTCAGTTACAGACACACCCTCACTCCAATAGCAGTTTGCCTTTATGTATAAAAACTATAAACTAAATCCTCATTCAGTCCAGCTCTTGGTGGATGCAATAATACAGTACACAATAAACCAAAAAAGATGAAACCTGTGAAATTGAACAAAGTTCACCCAAAAAAAAATGCATCTCTTCAGCATTGGAGCGATTTTTGTTTGTTTTCTATTTGACACAGATTTACATGTTACTAAAGCGCTGTCTGTGGACGTATGCATCTCTGTGTGCTCGGCTGTTTCCGTTGCTTCTTCTTTCTTCATAATACAATCCAGGTACATCGGTCACTGTCTGCCAACACTTGCAGGGACGAGCCTACGGGTGAAAATTCATTATTGTCCTCACACACAAATCAACATTTGCACCATTGTCTTCAAAATGGTTATGATAGCACATGTTTCTTTTGGCTGGCAGTGAGGATTACATTAGGTCTACACAGTTCTAATGATACCTCCGGGGAGTGTTTACTTCTATGACAGAAACTGACTTTCAAATGTATTACACATAACCAACACTCATACTAAATAAAGACTTACATTTATCTGAAATAAACACTTAAAATTATCAAAGAAATCCCAGAGCACTTGGTATTATTCATACTGGCTCACAAGGTCAGTAATGATGTAACATGGGTGTATTAATGTGTAATGAGGTAAAGAACTGTAATATGGGTCTAATAACAGTGGAAAGTGTCACATGTCACGATAGGTAAATTATAGGTATAAATTAAAATGCGATGACTGAAAAGCTGTTTTTGTTTTCTGGCTGCTGATTTAGCCCATTTTTACAGCAGACATAATGACATGTCATAGTAGGAAGTAGGGCTGTGCAATTAATCGTATTTTAATCGCAATCACGATTTTGGCCTGCCAAAATTACGAAAACAACATAATCGAAAAAAACAATTATTTTGCTTTGCTAGTTGTGACAGTGCACTAGAACATATTTGATCTAATTAATTTTGGTCTCATTTATTTGTATTTATCATATTTATATACGTTTAGTAGCTTGTGGAAGTGCGCTCCAAAATATTTGTTGATCTTGTTTATTGGTATTTATTATTTTGATATTATTTATTTAAATGTATAATTTATTTTATTTATTTTTGTATTGGTTTTTTCAGTTGAATTATACGTTCAGGGTAATCAACAGTTAAAAATATACTGTTCAAATTATTATTTGTATTTGTTTTAAAGTTCAATAAATGGATTTTTTCAAAGTCAATGAATAATCGTATTTAATAATCGTGATATCAATTATTGACCCAAATAATCGTGATTATGATTTTTGCCATGATCGCACAGCCCTAGTAGGAAGACACAGCTGAAGACACATTACCGTTTTATGTCATCTTCCCAATAAGCCAGGACAATGTGACAGAATGCACTATTCTAGCTGAATAGAGTTCAGCCATCATTCATTTTGAATGTTTACACCTGTGTGTTTCCTGCTGTGTCAAAAGCTCTTCTGTATATTTTCCAGGCTGACACACTTTTATGATTTACTGGGACATTGAAATAGAACAGCACCATCATTAACGTTATTACTAACACCTGTGTTTTTCCTACTGTAACAAGTGTCAAACTGTCTGCTGAGAACAAGTTCCTCTTGTGGGGGTTTAGCGACACACTTGAAAGGTGCAAAGCCAGCATTAGTTTAACCTGAGCTTTTCCTGCTGCGACAAGTCAAAATGTGATCCATTATTAGAGACATACTGTTGCATGATGTGAACAAGAAATGGTTGTAAGCCTCAAAGCAAATCAAGCTAACAGGCTAGAGGCTGTATCAGAGAAAATGTTCTAATACTGCATCTAAATGTGCGTACTGATGTGTTATTTTGAGTGCATCAGTGTAAATAATTTGCTACTGTCAATAATGACATTGCTAGCTAGCTAACAGTTCTGAAGGCACAGCAGCCGTGTGCGATTTAAAACAATGCTAGTCGAGATTCACCCCCCACGCAAGTGTTCAGTGTACGAAATGACAGTGTACTTGGGAAAGTATCTGAAAGGCAAAAAAGCTCTTGTTATGCCAGCTTAAGCCAAGCTAAACACTCTGTATCGGTTTCTCATTGAAACCTACCAAAACATTAAACCTATTGAAATGTGCAAAAACAATGACAGTCAGTTAACTTTAAGACAGGTGAGTTACAGGTGTTGGCAACATCTGTAGAGGAATTCAAAGATATTAGTGTGGGTGTGTGTGTGTGTGTGTGTGTGGGGGGGGGATGTATAACCATAACTGTTTGGTGGCAACACATTGTGAGTGTCTACCGTATGCCTCTCTTTAGGTTCTACCTGCTGGCATTTTGTTGTTTTTTTCAAAGGCAATAAACAAGCAGCCATTAGGAACGTTGGCAAGTAAGGACAGCTAAATGGTACACCTTATGATAGGATAGGAGAAATGGATTAGGAACTGTTCATCTAATATAAATCAGGTCCTTACCCTATTACCATGGTTACCAATCAGTTAAGATGGTAAACATGTTTATTTAACACGGCCCACACTGTTCAGATGTGAACAGAAAAATTAAAGATGTGAAGTTTAAATCCATGTGTGTGTGTGGTAGGGCTGCACGATATATCGTATCGTGATGATTTCTTTTTTTAATTGTTTAGGACTTGCGATATTAAGTAGGCAAATTAACTCAAACACGTCAAGTTACAATTATTTTGCTGCTTGCTACAAAAGGAAAACTTGCGCAGCTCTCATGTCAGGGGTACTTGAGTGAGTGACATGCGGGCTCTACATACACAGCAAACCACCAATCACAATCAAATCTCCAAAGCAAACGGACCCGGTGATTAAAGGTCAAAACACTGAATAAAGTAGTTTCATGTGTTTCTCCAGGGCAGTTCGGCGCTGCTAACCGAGCTAGCTCAACTTGTTGCTCTGATAACTTAAGATCCAGACGCCCGTGACTAAAATACTTCATCCGGTTAAATGTAGTTACAAAAATACCAATTGAATAGCATTAAAGTTCAAGAAAGGATGGTTTGCGGGAAAAAAAACGGTCTTTTTTTCAATTCCTGTATGTTTTCATATCGCAATATATATCGCAGGGGGAAAAAAATCGCAATGTCAGTTTTTTCCAATATCGTGCAGCCCTAATGTGTGTGTGTGTGTGTGTCTCACCTTTGTGTAGAGCTTCGTTGGTCATGCGATTGATGTAGCGGGAGCTGCTCTCGGGAACCAACCACTTCATCACCGTGTTCACACACGACTTCCTGTAAGAACTCCACACACTCCCACTGACAAGGGAGAGAGAATGAACACTTTAACTCAAAATAAAGGAAACATAACAAGAAATACACTAACAAAAAACAAAATGTGGTGTGTGGGGGGGTTGGCAGAAGTTCCTCACCTGGTCTGACCCTTGACCTCAGTCAGGTCACCTACACCCACGGTGCAACACACACCTGTGTTGAGGTCCCAGCTGACCTGCAGGTTGGAATGATACGTGTTTGGCCTGGAAACAAAAACAAGAAAAAGCAGACTTTAGTGGGACGAGAATAATTAGCAGGGCTGAAGAGGGCTTTGGGTTTATCTAAGACACGTACCTGCAGTGCTCCTCGTCCACGTTGGAGAAGGCCAGTAACAGCAGACCAATGTTGATCATCACAGTGTTGGTTTCAGGACACACCTGAGACCCATCATACACCCATTATCTCCAGGTCAAATACAAAATGTTCTTCCTGTTTTTTTGTTCCAGCTCAAACAGGAGAGCTAGAAACAATCCATCTACTAGGGCTGAACAATGACATTCAAATTCTAATTTGCATGCTACGCTGTTGTTGTTTTTTTCAATCAATCATGCATGCATATTCAATGTGTTTACCCTGGTATTTATGTAGTTGTTTTGTGTGTGTTTGTGTACTGACCTCTAATATCACAACATCGTAGTCGCTGAACGAGCAGAACTGAGGGGCCCAGGCAGCATCGCTCCTGATCACCTCATTGATGAGATACTCAAAGTCTAAAGTCAGCTGCTCCACGCACACACTCTGCAGGAGATATAAAACAGGTTCAATGTACCTGATTATTGACTCTAGATTCCAGGTAACATGTGTATTCCAGTGTTTCTGAATCAGCCACAGATATACAAACACGCACCTGTCCATTGTGTGGCCCGGTGACCAGCTGCAGGTTCCGTCCCTTCAGGTCAGTGACTGTGAAAGGCAGCTGAACTTTATCGTCTTCATAACCTGGAGACACGGAAACAGAGAAGAAGAATGTGGGTCAGCAGCTTCAGACATTTTTCACTCATTCTTCATCTGTGTGTCCTCCCTTTTTCTCTCACCTCCTGCACCTCCCGCAGGCTGCTCCGCTGCCCCCGGCTGTTGGAGGCGGTACTGCAGGAGTGAATAGTTGACATATCCAGGCTCGCTGGGGCCAAACTCCTGGGATGAGGATGGGGGGGAGGAAGAGCATGAGGAAGAGGAGGCAGGAGACATCCCTTGTTCAGAGGCCTGTGGCACACTGTGGCTCCCTCTTGATGTTGACGCTTGTGGTAAAATAGTCCGTCTTTCCTCTTCCTCCCTCCTCTTTTTACAATCTGCCTCCTCCCTCTTTGTCTCTTCAGTAATCCCTTTGTCTCCTGGTAACTGCGCTGCCTCCTTCGTCCCATCAGATGGTCTTCTCTCAGCCTGGTCTTCGTCCTCTTTCCCCCCTCCTCCTCCCTGGGCCCTCCTGAAGAGGTCAGCTGCAAACTCTCGCGCTCGAACGGCTGCTTGCGACTGGCTCGGAGATGAGGGAATCGAAGTGGGTCTGCTAGGTGGCGGTCGGCTTTCGGGAGATCCCTGAGGTAGTGAGGAAGAAGAGGCCGAGGATGTGGAGGAAGAAAATGTAGAGCCTTGACTTGACAGAGACGCTCTCTTTGTGTAAAGAATCTGTGATGACTGGCCCTGCTTACCTGCAAAAGAAACATTATGATGTCACATGATGGTAACAGGCAGGGATTAATGGGAATCAATAACGAGCTGTTTGTGTTAGAGTGTTACCTGGGCAGAGTGAGATGCCGCAGGCCACCAGAGAGTAGCTAGTGTTCAACAGGATGACCTGGTCCTTTTTTAGCTGGAAAGCTGGCTGGAAGGTGGGGAACGGGTACACCACCTGGTACCTGCTGTTGAGCACATAGCCATGCTCCAGACACTCACCACTTCCTGGGGAGAGAAAGGGATGAAGTCAGATTAGAAAGAGAGAGAGAGATAGGGACAGGAAACAATAAAGTAGTCAATGTGTGAGTATGTGTGTATTAACCTGTGCGTATGGTAGTGGCTGAGGGAACAGGGCAGCAGTAAGAGCAAGGTTTAGGTGGAGGCATGGAGGCAATAGTGATGTAGATGTCTCTGTTGTTTTCATCACTCATCATTAAGTTCATCAGCACGGAGCTTGAACTGCGTGTACTGGCAGGTGGAAGGACACATCAATTACTCATCATTACCTAAACATTGCAAAATAAATAGCCAGATATGCATCAGCTTAATATTGAGATCTTTTTGTGTCCTTACTTGAAGCCAAAGATAACGATTTTGGAGTGGTCATTTGGCCACTCACACACGGTCAGGTAGAGGTCGCTGTAGATCTCCTCTCCTGCAAACAGACGTACATGATGGACCTAAAGAGAAAAAACAGAGATGAGATAAAGAAAAGCACATCCGTAAATTAATATGGCTTATCCAAGTTCTTCACTTATAACTCTCAAAGAAGGATGTGGTTTTGCATAGAATTCTAATGGAGTGAGTACGTTTCTTTTCATTTACCTGTTTGAGTCTACTGTGCAGGTTAAACTCCCACCAATAGAGATGGTAGGTATAGAAAGAGAAGTCGTCGTCTTCTCCACAGTCGCTGGTGTAGGACAGAACGTAGCGACCGCATTTGGTAAAACCCAGAAACACATGCCTGGAACAAAAAACATCACACAACACTGTAAAACAGGCCTCTGCTTCAATAATACACATAATCAATCGTCAATAGGAGTATAATGGCCACTAGTAGGTAGGGATTTTCTAATCCAATAAGTAAATTAAGTGTCGACACATATTTGTTAATTAAGGGAAAACAAAGCATTGGTATTGGACATAAATTATTGTATTGAGACTGAAAGAGTTGTATTGGTGCATCCGTACTAACAGATAATATTCAGAGAGCAGGAGCATCAACAATCCTCATTAACACACCATTTGGTTTGAAATGCTTTCAGTTTAACAAAGTGTATTTCTGTCCATTGTATAAGACAAGTTGCATAATGACAACAAACCCATTGAGTAAACACACGCACTGACCCTGCTCTCAGGAACTCCTCACTGACGATGTTCTTCAGCGGGACACACACTCGAGGTGGCAGCTTCCTAAAGAGACGCTGAGAAAAATGTCCTGACAGCTGCAGGGCAGGCAACAGAGTAGTTTTAGACAACATAAGTCAAATACAAAGTGCATCATAACGCATGAAAAGTGTGTGTAAAAGATATGGAAATTGCACTAATAATGAAATAGCTTGTCGTTGATACAAAACAAACTCAGCTTCAGTCATAACCCTGCACAGTAACACGCAATGATCTTAATGGCTAGCGTATATACAGTAAACCATTTGCTTATAAATCAAACATACTAACGTGGGTAACGTTATATCTGATGGTTGCATTAATTACTTAATGTGCAATCCGGCAAGTTTCTGCTGTGGTTTAGCTAGAGCTTTCACGGTTCAATATGAAACGCTGTTGACGGGTTGACTAGGCTAGCACGCCAACACTGCTCACACTGGAGTCTACAGGCATGTTAGCAAGCCACACCAAGAGATATACATATCGAGAAAGGTTGCTTGAAAGCAAGGGGGATAGTTTCCATACTTAGCATAGACAAATTAGCCACCTGCCTGCCATTAGATGTTAGCTTTCGAGCTAGTTAGCAGCTAGCTCCAGAACGCTTTAACAACAGCGGTCATACATTCTCTGAACTACTCTTGCAGTGTTTAATATCACACGTTTTCTGAATTCATGCCTACCTTCCCACGCATGAGAAGCTTCACGACATGGTCTTTGTGTTTTCTTTGAGATTTCTGTTTGCTAGCGTCCTTTTCTGATTTCGAGCTGGGCGCCATCTCCCTCTCAACTGTAGTAGCTCGCTCCAGTCAGGACTGACGTGATTGGTCCGCAGGCCGCACGAGACAGCCCTTATCGCCGGTGGACGCATCCATGACGGACGAAACAAAGGTGGAACACAACAGCGATGACTGCAGGAAGCCCCTACAAAAGCGATGTCTGAATTATACATATATAAATGAATCGGTGTCACTTACAGAATTAAAATGTATACACAATCAGTCTGACATCGGGTGTCATGTGATGCGTCTTTAGCATGGTGTTTAAATTGGGAGCGACCAACTCTCAAACACAGGAGTACCACAGAAGAAGAACGAAATGAGGTAAATTGAACGTTTTATTTTAAGTATTTAAAAACAAGCTGTAAAAAATAACATCTAAAAAAAAAGAAGAAAACAAAAACAGCATACAGTAACAGACCTATTGGAACCAAAAAACAAAATCAGACAATAAAGATGGGGAAATTTAACTGAGGGCAGTCAAGCACACAAACATGCACACACAACCAACCTACATTGTGTAGGACAGTTAATGCCTTATTACAGCCAACTTACACACATTTCTGTTCAGTAGCATACACTGTATACAGACACACACAACCCCCTTAAGGAAAGTAATTACAATGAATAAAATTAAAAATAACAAATCAGGACAGCAGGGGAAAATACACCTGCAATATACACTGGGAATGTTAAAAAAAAAGTTAAAAAAGGTACCAAGAAGAAAGAAAAAATGGTTTAATTTTTCTTACAAACATAATTTCTGAATATATTCAAAATACTGCTAGAACGTTTTTTTTTTACCCTCAGGAAATTGTAGGGGAAAAACTACTTGAACGTGAGTCAGTGTCAGGATGCTGTTGTGCTAGCTTGCAAACAAAGATGCTTATCACATTTCACTATTTTTTTTTAAATGAGCAAAATTATTACAAGGTGTGGGTGAGGTGAAGGGGCAAACTGAATAGCAACCCAAGTAGTTATTTAGTGCTTTGTTCAATGCATGGGCAAAATGTGATCCCTTTTCTCTTCAATTTTGACTTTAAAAAAACAAGTAGATTGGAATAGAAAATGTCTGGCTGGATGAGAATGGTCTTGTCTTGTCAAAGCCAAAAGAAAATCTCTTGATAGAAAAGACGAACAAGTCCAGAGGGCCATCACAACCTTCAAACAGGCTGAGCCAATCGTTTTACTGGGCCTGAAACGAGAGGAAAAAAAAGTGTAATTAGTATTGCACATTGCTGTAGGTTTTTCCCTTTGAAAAGGAACTGAATGCATGTTCCATGTTCTTAAGCTTTTGAATGCCTGGATGGGTTAAAGTTAAATAATGTTACAGGTAGGGCTGTGCGATTATGGCAAAAATCATAATCACGATTATTTTGGTCAATAATTGATATCACGATTATTAAATACGATTATTCATTGACTTTGAAAACATCCATTTAATGAACTTTTAAATACAACAAATAATGTGAACAGTATCTTTTTAACTGTTGATTTCCCTGAACGTATAATTCAACTAAAAAACCAATACAAAAATAAATAAAATAAATGATACATTTATATCTACATTTAAATAAATAATATCAAAATAATAAACAAGATCTAACAAATATTTTGGAGCGCACTTCAACAAGCTACTAAACGTATATAAATATGATAAATACAAATACGTTTGATCAAATATGTTGCAGTGCACTGTCACAACCTAGCAAAGCAAAATAATCGTTGTAATGTTGTTTTCGTAATTGTGGCAGGCCAAAATCGTAATTGCGATTAATTGCACAGCCCTAGTTACAGGAATGCTCTTTTAATGGCAACACCACAGGTCACTCAAAATCTCTGAAGATGAAGAATAAATCAACAATATTAATAACAAACACCTGCACTATACATTTATTCTGTCACAGTATTTTATTCTAAACACAGAAAGGCACGTGTGGAAACATAACTTTGAAAACGAGTTTTAACACATTTTGTACAGTGAATGTTCTCGTCTGGCAATTGTTGAACAAACTGGACCTTGACAGCCACAAAGTCAATTTGTTAGTTTTTCCATGTATTCGTTACCTGTTGTCCCTGCTGTGGAGCACCGCCCTGTCCAGGCCCCTGCCCTGGCTGTCCATAGTAGGCAGCCTGCTGTCTGTAGTACTCAGCCCAGGCTGCACTGTAGTCCTGCTGGCCTCCAGCTGCACCCCCGCCTGCTGCTGCTGCCGCTGCCGCCGCCGCCGCCGCCGCCGCCGGGCCCGGAGCAGCTGCAGCCCCTCCAGCTGGCTGGGCTGGAAAAACACAACAAAAAACCCTTAGTACTGGATGCACAGTCATGTACTCTTTTCATTTCACAGTATACAACTGAAACACAGTACAACTGACTATTTAACATGCAGTACTAAGTAAAGCTCACTTACTCATGCCCATCTTCTTGTAGTACTCCTCCCAGGCTTTAGTATAGTCTGGCTGGCCACCAGAAGCCTGCTGTCCCTGGCCCTGGTCCCCTGGTGCTGCTGCAGCAGGGGCTCCTGGGCTCTGGCCTGCCATGGCACCCCCTGGCTGTTGGCCATAATATTGTGCATAGTATGCTGCCCATGCTGCGTTAGGATCTGCTGCTGCCTTATCTAAGGAGGGGAGGGAGAAAAAGAACCCAGGATTAGCAAACCTTACAAGATAAACAACTTTTGAGACAAGTACATTGTCAAAATGTGTACAAAATACTGACTGGGGTCATGTTGACCAGGGGCTTGCCACTGCTGGTAGTTACCTCCCCAACCCTGTGGACAGTACTGGGCTCCACCAGGTGCGGCTCCACTGTGAAGAAGGAAGAGACGGTTAAACAAACTGCTTATTTATCTCCACTGGAGGGACCATTCACAAATCCTGCATTCCAGTATTTGTAGATTGCACTTACTGTGGAGCACCACCTGGAGGCCCTGCATTATAAGGGTTTGGATTAAAGTGACCCATAGGACCACCTGGGCCTCCTGGGCCTCCCGGGCCACCTGGACCACCAGGTCCACCAGGACCACCGCCCACAGGACACAATGGAGCCTGGAAACAGGAGAAAAACATTTAAACTAGGAATTAATTCAGAGGATGCATTATCTTTTGAAAACAGCTTGAACTGTGTGTTCCTTCTCTGCTCCGTAAATCACTTGAACGCACCTCAATCTTCTCTTCTATAAGCTGCTTGGCATGGTCAATCTGTTGTGGGGACCCTCGGATGATAAACAGTTTGAAGTTGGGGTCACCGTTTGGTGGTGGCTGACGAGAGATCTCCACAAACGCACCGGTCTGTTGGTTGATGGACTTCACATTTTCTCCTCCTCTGCCAATGACAAGCCCACATTTGTGCGCAGGAATGGAGAAGGTCATCTCTCCTCCCGGAGGGCCCCAGTTGCCCTGGGCTCTGCCTCGTCCCCGCCCACCGGATGGCATCCCTTCACCGGGGGGGCCCTGTGGAGGACACACTCTTTACATTAGGTTTTACTGGTCCACGGCCAACTAAAGTTTGGGATTTCTGTCACCAGCTAGAATTAAACACCTACCCCCTGCCCGCCCTCCTCTCGTGCACGGATGCTCTGTAGCAGTTCAGTGATGATCGATGCAGCATGCTGACACTGGTCTGGTGGACCCATAATATGGGCTATTTTATCAGAACCGGTTCCATCATCTGTAAGGAAAGACAAAAGGAAAGGGGGGTTATTAATGGTGGTTTGCACAGGGACTGAAACCAAAAGGAAACTATCCGATCTAAAAAAAAAAAAGAATTAGCTTTGGGAAAAAAATTAAGTTAAGAAAAGTGAAAAAATATATTTTTGGGGCGGGGGAACAAGCTGTAGCATCTCTAGTAGATGACATTTCCTGCAGCGCTTTAATTTATAGCAGTTCCATTACATTTCACCCCACCTGAGAAATATATGTGGAGAGCTCACCTGGTTTAAACTGAATCTTCACTCCAGCATCGCTCTGGATCTTCTTGATCATCTCCCCACTTCGGCCAATTACAACTCCCACAGAGTGGCGGGGCACAGCTATCTGTAGATTAAAAAATAAATTGTTATGGCGGCACGAAGCAATAGACTCTTATCCATTAATCACATTTATGTTAAACTTGCATCACACATGCACACAATATTCAACAGTCTTTTTATTATGTTTCTTTAGTGCCACTTCTCCGTTATAGTGAGGTCTCTGAATACAGAAATCAAAGCTACGACTAACTGCTCAAATTAACGGCGACAACTTACATCAATGCCACCACCGCCGCTGCCGATGCCGCCTCCTCCGCCGCCACCACCACCTCCTCCTCCTCCTCCTCCGCCACCACCCACCTCCTCCCCCTCCCATCCTTGATCCAAATTCGCTCCGGTCTCCAAATCCGGCATTATCCCTCTCTCGTAGAATCTCATTCACCATGTCCTTTGCTTGCTAAAAAAAAAAAGAGCAACAAAACATGCAATGATTTAAAGGGTAAATGGGGGCATAAAACATTTCCCTAGTCAAAACAATATATATAGTATATACACAATACTGAACTTCAACAGTACCTGCACTTTGTAGGGGTCTCCAATGATGCGCAGGGGCTTATCTATGTTGGGTGGCTGGGATCCGTCTTGAATAAGAATCATCTTAACTCCAGCCCGCTCCTAAGATTCAGCAGTAGAGGAATGTTGCATTAATCACACGGCAAATGTACCTCATGTCAACAAAAGCATTTGACACAGTTTACAGGTTGCAGTAAGCTTTTCAAATCAGGACCAAACATTTTACTAAATTCATTCTTTATTCATCTTTCCAATATCTGTATAGTGGAAGCACTATATGTGGCAATATGAAGGAGTCATTCTTACCTGAAGCTGTTTGATGGTCTCTCCTCCTTTACCGATTATGAGGCCGGCCTTGCCTGCAGGGATGATCATCTCCTGCATGGAACCTCCCCCTCCTCCTCCTCCACCACCACCTCCTCCTCCTCCCAATCCTCCCAATCCTCCTCCTCCTCCTCCTCCTCCTCCGCCTCCTCCTCCTCCTCCTCCCGACTGCCCATTGGTCGC